TTTTTAAGACTAGCGTGTGGTGTTTGCCTAATCTTAACTCAAACCATACATTAATCAACATCAAAGGTCATCACACAATAATGGCAATTAATGATTAAAATTAAATGCAATAAATTAATCAAGAACACTAGAATTGATAAACAATAACTTTGATTAAAAACATAAAGTCTTCAAATTAAGCTACATTAGATCCCTAGTAGAGAGTTCAGTTACACATAATTATCAAGAAAGCAAATCTCAACTTTCCCCAAAAGCATGAAGATCAAGAGTTGATTACAAAATCTAAGGAGAGTCTCATTTCTTGAAAACCCTCTTTTTTCATTCAGCCAAAAGATGTCTCAATTGAAATTATAAAGCCCTTTTATAGTTTTTAACAACTAAGGGCGTTTTTCAAATTACATTAAAACAAGTTGGAGTTGAAAAAGGCGTTACTTTTCTCTCCTGCATGAAATATGTTGCGGCGTGGTTTTATGGCACCACGGTGTAACTCTCCTCTATTATTGCTTCTTCGAAAAAAATTGTGCCACGCCACGATGCAAGATGAATCATGCCACAATGCAAGTTGAGTCATGCCAATTTGTGTTGCGGCACAAAAAACTATGTCGCGGTGCAATCTTGAATTTCCAAGTTCTTCTTCCAAGTCTTGACTCACTTGCACTCCAATGTATCCTGACAGTCCAAACATCATCACACGTATGAAATCACCATTTCCACGCCTAAATTCTTGAAAACTCACACACATACCCATGATTCTTGAAAAAGGAATATATAAGGAAATCCATGACAAAACAATGCATTAAACCATGAATTCCCTACATCAATTCGCCAAATCACTAAATATATATACATTTTTGACACTCATCACTCTTCTTGACCAAGCGATCTACTCTGTGGCAGTCCCTACACATTAGTACAAATGCTCAATCCACATCCAATGTCAATAACCCAAGATGTAATAAAAGATAAGTTAATCTCAATCATAAACATACCTTTAAAAGAAGAGGAAGCAGTCTTCTTCTTGCTCGCTAATAAAACATTGCAGTGTTTTTTCCAATGGTCATGTTTGCCATAGTGAAAGCAAACTACCTTCCCATCCTTGCTTACGCCAGCAACAAACTTCAAGGCATCTTGAGGCTTGTGCTTAGGCTTAGGTTTGGCCTTACCCTTTCCTTTACCTTTACCTTTGCCTCTCCCAAGGGTAGCGTCAACTAGCGACATTGGTTTAGACTTCTTCATGTCTTGCTCTACTCTCTTGAGCATACTCAGGAGCTTGGAGAATGACTTCTCCATGCCATTCATATTGAAGTTCAATATGAATTGTGAGAAGGATTCAGGTAGGGATTGCAAAATAAGGTCCACTGATAGTTCTGCATCCATGACAAAACCCAAAGTTTCAAGCTTTTTGAATATAACCAATCATCTTGATTACATGAGGCCTAACTTAGGCTCCCCCACCCATTCGACATCTAAATAATGCCTTAGGCGTATCGTATCAATCATGTCTAGCACGCTTCTGAATAAGCTCCTTGAGATACGCCAAGATATACTAAGATTCAAGTGTTCATTTTTCTCTTGCAGCTCTAACGTCATCGATGTTGACATTATACATTATACGTTGTCAATATCATCAAGATACTTTGCATGAGTCTCTCTTTCCTCCTATGTAGCCTCAAGACCAAGTGCATCCTGAACTAGCTTTTTGAGGACGTACAACTTCTCGGATTTTAGTACAATCTAAAGATTTCAGTACCAATCCGTGAAGTTAGTACTGTCCAGCTTGTTTTCCTTTTTGATAATCGATCACAATGATAGTGTGTTGATAGTCAATTTGTGAGTCTGCAAGTGCAAAAATAAAGAGAGTTAATATCATGTTATAAATTTAATTAATCAAGGTCTTTTAATTAATTAAACGCTTTCATTATTTTACTCAAGATTTAATAGCCTTCACTATCAAACTCGGGAAGTTCCGTTGGTCTTCCTAGTGGGCCAAGATCCCATCAATTACAATTTAAACCTTCGCTGACGCAAACAAACCAAAATGAGTTGATTTAGGTAGGTCAAACAAACTCAATTTATATCGACTAATGGCACCAACCACTAATGCTCAAATATAAATTAGACCACAAGACCAATTACACAATCCAATGACACCAACTATTGACCTCAAGTGTAACTCTTGGATCAGTAGAATAGACACTATATCAACTTGTGCATCATTTGATTGTACTTCTCTACTATGTCTCTAATGCGTTTATTAATCTTCGCTGACGTGAACAAGTCAAAACTACTAGTTAAGTCTTTACCCAACATCATTAAAGAAAAACTCCAATATGACTTATTCTCCCACTGGTAGAAGTATACCCTTCATTGATGCAAACAAAGTTACGACGAACAATGGTTTGACTAGGCCCATGGTGTTGGAAAGCGTGAATTAGACTTAAATATCTTTACTGAGGGTTTTGTATTTGGTCTCATTATTTTATTATCTTGGTTAACATGTTATAATCATAACATTCACCCCTAGCATACATACTAAGCAATAAAGGTAAACATGTTGGTTCATTGTCTTAGGTAAAACCGATTTCCTCGAGCTTGGAGGAATCGATGGGTCAACCTAAGTAAAATTAAATTAGGTCTTGAGTGGAAAACCGTCTTTCTTCAATCCTATGCTCCTTCTTGCTCGACCATCGCAATAAATTAAAATTATACTTTAATATTACATCATTAAAAGAAACCTCAAGTTACATTCGTTGGAAGTAAGATGAGAAAAGAATTTACAATAGAGTGAGAAGGAAGGCAAGACACGTAGGCTTTATTTAAATTGAAAAGTACAAAATCCCAAAATATGTTAACACTAGGTCTAAAGGCAAATGCACCGAACACCACGCAAATTCATACACAAGAATATGCATAAAAACAATCAAAACAAAATTTTGATCATGTTGGTAAAATTTCATTACCCCTTGAAGTTTAATATTGTTGTATTGAAACCCAACAAGTTTTAAACTTTGCAATTTATTCCCTTGTTGTCAGGCTTCGGTTTATTGGGCCTCCAAAATATTTATAATATGCAACAACATATTATAGAATTCTCTTGGCCCATTGTTGACGTGCAACAACGTGAAACAACCCGAAAATAAAGCCATTGCACCATTACGCTGGCTGCCCATTAAGCGGTTTTATGCGCATCGTAACACTCGAGTAGTAGCCTTTGAAGACTTTTGAAACATGCACAACATGTCAGCTAGCTAATGGTGCCATTCATGAATCATTTGAGTCACTATAGCATCCATTATGTTTAGTTGTCGAGCACATAGCAAAATCTCACACGACAACGTTTAGAAATACTGCTTGTTCGAAAAATGATTAAAACCCCTTGCTACACTAGTCAAAAGACTTGTGCAGCCATACTGACGCGATCCTCACTCATACAACAACACGTGGAATTTCGCTTCGCTCCAAAATACACTATATAGTGCGATCGGGAACGATTTGTTGAGGAGTACAGTGGACTGCCTAAAACCATTATTTTAAAAATCGGACCGTTTGTTGACCCGGTCAAGGGGCCAGTTCGCGGGTTGACCGGTCCAACCGATTGGACCAGTTGGTCTGACCGGTATATAACAATCACATCTTTAAACAATTCCATTAATTATTATAAGTTTGAAAACTAGCAAATACATCCCTAAAATTTACTTATAAGCCCTTGTAAGTTTAAAATAAACAAATGCACCCTACAGATTTTATTATTAATTGTTCTTTTCTCTCTCCCCATCACTTCCATCTTTCTCTTTTTTTCTCTCTCTCTCCCCATCACTCCCCGTCTTTCTTCTTTCTTCTAACACATTCGCGTCTCTCTACTGTATTTTTTCGCTCCTCTTCTCTTTCTTCTTCCCTCTCTTTCTCTTCATCTCCTCTTTTCTTTCTTCTAATCTTCTTCCTTACTCTTTCTCGTCTCCTCTTCTCTTTCTTCTTCCCTCTCTTTCTCTTCATCTCCTCTTTTCTTTCTTCTAATCTTCTTCCTTACTCTTTCTCGTCTCCTCTTCTCTTTCTTCTTCCCTCTCTTTCTCTTCATCTCCTCTTTTCTTTCTTCTAATCTTCTTCCTTACTCTTTCTCGTCTCCTCTTCTCTTTCTTCTTCCTTCCCTTCCCCTTACTTCTTCTTTTTTACACTATAGATTTTAGAGTAAGTGAAGAAGAATAAAAGATGAAAATGGAAGATGCAATTTGGTTTTTTTATTCAAATGAAATGGAGAATGAAACGGTGCTGCAAAGTGCAAATTGGTTTAAGAATATGAATTTTTTAGGATCAGATACCCAAAAATAGCAAACCGTTTTAAGCCCCAGGCCAGTCGGACCAACGGTTTTGTACTATTCCGCCAGTCCATTGCCGATCCAAAGCAGGTTTAATGACATTCCCAGTTTTTATGTTAACCCGAACCGAAGTAAAGGTGGACTCCGGTCGGACCGACCGATCTGGTCCGAGTTTTAAAACAGAGCCTAAAACAGATATGTTATGCGTAAAAATGCACAAGAAGTCAAGCATTTGTGTGAAAACACATAATGCAGGTCAAGGCCATGCGTGGAAGCACACAAATAGTAGGGTTTGGTCATTTGCGACAATGCATGGCCCATGGCAACCACCGCACACAGCGGCATTTCACAGCCAGGTAGCAGCAGTTGCAAGCAACGTGTAGTTGCTGGTGTAGTGGTCATGTGTTGTCGCACACGACCACTAGACGCCATTTGCAACGGCATCAGCCAAGGCCCTATCGCGCGTAGCCACTGCCCTATCGCGCGCAGCAACGCACGACTACTGCATTGCTGCGAGCAACAACGTGCAACAGTCGTGCGAGACTTTGAGCAACAACAACGCGTGTGATGCACAACCACACATGGTAGCAATAAACCACCACGTGGTGGTGCTTTTAGGGTTCCATAATCATTTTATTTTCAATTAAAAATAAAACAGGTCAGATGCAGTTTATATTCAACACAACAAAACTCAATTCTCAATTCAATTAATCAAAAAACTAATTAAATGTGCGAGCTATGTTACAAAATCATAACATCATCAACTCCTTTACAACAATTTAAATTGAATTAAAAAAGTAGTGTCATTTGACAACACTACTTGTCCGGTAACACACGCAAATTACAATCCACGCAAATTACAATCCATATTGATCCACTAATTAAGCATTGCAATTTAATAGGTTTCTGGGTTTGCAGGAGAATTTGACCTTAATATACAAAAAGTTAGTGAAAATACTCTTAAGATGCTTGTGACTCGATCTCACTAACAACATAACACAAAAACCTACAGTTTACTGCTTTTGCTTCTTTTGTGCTGGCCCGGACGAAGTCCCAGCCTGTATAAAAAAGTTATCCAGAAAAAACTCAGGTTTATAGTCATCCAGAATGTTTATAAATGGCTATTTAAGCAGATATATATAACATTTTTCTTTAATTCTCTAACTCAATTATAGTTCCACCTGTAACAAGGAAGTCCTATTCTAAACTCTAAAGAACAACAAGAAAACAAATTTTATGAACAACGTAAGTAGATTATGACCATTTCCAGTTTTCCATAATTAAAGAACATAAATATTCAGTTTTGTTTTCTTTTCCCACTGCTTACTTGGAAATTCCATAGCCAATACTTCTTTGATTCTCCAACATTTCCCCATGACTACAGTAATACAATTAAAAGCATGCTTACCAAGCTTGATAGTTGCTCACTAATGTAGGTCAATGATCTCAACATAGCTTCAAGTATGTCCTTGGTAAGCTGAAATTTAACCTCAATTTCTCCCGAAGAAGACATACTATAATCTTGCAGCTGCAAACAAGAACAAGAATACTAATGGAAAAATTGGACACCATATGATGTACTTCTAAAAAAGTCAATAATATGAAACAGTCAAGTTATAGATACCCTGATCTATTCCAACTAAAGGGAAAGACTGTACTCCCATCTAAGACTGAGAACAGAGATTAATAATGTGAGACGCTGGAGCCAAAGGTGATTAAAAAGAAATACTCACAACTTTAATAACAGAACGTTATCGTTATCCTACTTCAACTACAATTTACACAAGAACTGCTTTCTCTAACATGTACAACAATAGCAAGCAGGAAAACACTCCCTGCACAAGCCTCGGAAGTATTTTGGCATATTTTCACTAATCAAAACTATAAACACTCAAAGGGCCCCAAACCCATGAAACAGAGAAACCAATACTTCAGTGGTTCTATGATGACATTGATTGTAGGAATATCATAAGCAATGTTTCTTGGACTGTAAAGCAGTCTATCATCATCACTTCACTTTGTTATCTGGATCACTAGAGAACATGAAATTTTTAAGTGCAATGATACATAACTAACTATCAACTAAAAATCTCTCTGAGGCCCGGTAAGGAGAGGAAGAGGAGAGGGGGGTGTGGTTCTCCAATATCATACTTTAAAACTAATTGGCCGAAACAGTAAGGGAAGGGAAACAGATAGAATTTGGGAGAAAACCAATATCATACAGTAATCCAAAAATCCAAATGAGACTGTCCAAGCAATTTGCAAAACAGGAAACAAATATCTAATTCAAAATAACAAATAAGAAACCAAATTTGAACCTAAACCACATAAAGCTAGAATAAAATAATACCAAAAATAATAAAAATTAAACACTAGATCCTCTATCACCAACACAAGATCAATCAGTTAAAAACAGGAGCAACCTAAGAAGGAAATTTTATATCTGTTAGGATCCCACATTGGAAGGGAAAAGGATGGGCATGTGGGTTACAGGGCTTGGACACCTTCCCATGGCAAGCCGGTTTTCCAAGGAGAATTCTACCCAAGCCCATGAAAGACCCATGGCCCAACCCAATTGTTGAGTTATTAGAGTGGGTTCCTATCAATTGGTATCAGAGCATGATCCTGTACTTATGTGGCAGCGCACGCGTAGTAGGCTGACTTGTGGCAGGCTGATCTTGGGCGTACCCCAAAAAAGGGCATGGAGGCCCGAGGGAAAGGGGATCCGCATAGTTACCCAATGGGTAAAGAGGCCGACGTGGACATCGATTGCAGAAGTGTGGTGGAATGTTAGGATCCCACATTGGAAGGGAAAAGGGTGGGCATGTGGGTTATAAGGGCTTGGGCACCCTCCCTTGGCAAGCCCATGAAAGACCCATGACCCAGCTCAATTGTTGAGTTATTGAAGTTGGTTCCTATCCATATCATAGAACAAAGAAAAAAGAAGGTAGGAACTAGTTTAAATGAAAACAAAAATTCTCACTGCCACATCAAAATTATGTACACAAATGTGATCTAATTTTTTTTTTTTTTTTTTTTTAATAAGAAACAGAAGAAAAGACCGTATATGTCAGGCACCTACCAAGTTACTTAAATACTTCTCTTATCATATAGTTTTCCCAATGTAATTTCTTGAAGTAGAACAAGGTCAGGACTCTCATTATGCCATTTTTAATCAAAGTAGCCCTTACCGTTTTCTTTGTTTCCAAATCAGTTCACTTTTAAAAAGTCATCCAACTTTGATTTGGCCAACCTTAACCCCTCTCCCTCCACATCCTCTCCTCTTTTTACTGTATCCTACAAGTAATTAATCTATAATAAAAAGCATTTAGGCATGTTTAAGTCCTTCAATAACAGCTGAAGTTGCAAGAGAAGTCTCCATGTTTTTCCAATCATTTAAGATCTTCCAATTGAACTATAGATATGATCAACAACAAAGCTAGAATTTGCAACTTTGACAATGAAAGTTCTGTTTCTACAAGACAACCAATTTTTTTTTAAAAAGAAACATATGCAAAGAAGAAATCTACTCTTCTCTTTATGATTTTACTCAAATTTAAGGAAAAATAACTTCTCAATTACATACCTTAAGGCTAATTAAAGCTACTCTATTTCCCGGCACTGAGTTGCTTTTCTCCATGGTCCATGTCATCGATTTGAGGCAGGGTAGACTTCCCTGTAGATCAATAAAAGCTACATATATATATATATATATGAAAAGTCCCAAGCTATTTAAAATTCCCATATATGACATGGAGTGTGCTTCTTGCTTCATTGTGATCTTAAAACCCAAAAATATGAAATTAATGCTTTCCAAATCCTAACTCCTTAACAAATCTTTCATAAACTATTTATGAATGTATGTATGTGTTCGTGCATGAGGAAGGATTTATGGCCCCTTTTACACAAATTTTTACGACAATTATAGACCATTGACTTCATACACTTAGGATGGTTGAAGTATGTCAATGTTAAACCCATTGTATTCTATAAATATAGCAGACAATAAATTACTAACCATACCAGGTAGGTAGGAGAACCGGCATCATGTTGGAATTGCATGGGACCCAAAGGTGCTACACTGCTATCAGCAATGACTGGTGCTGAAACTCCAAGATCATTGTGATTGAAATTGGTGATAGTATCATCTAGATGAGGCCACAGTGGAGTTGACACAGTAGATGGGAAAGATGGTAGCAAACTTGCCTTGACATGATAGGAAACAGTGGATCTTGGCAACAAATTCTGATAAGAGGAGCATCAACAACATAGTAATGAAATAAAAAGTGCGCATAGGAAAAGGTGAAGAGCAAACAAACCAACAAACAAATTCACTTTTAGCATAGTAAGGAAATTAAAACAAAAAGGTAAAAGAAGTTTTATATTCATACAAAAAAAAAAAAAATGCAAATTGATTACTGATACAAGACTTCACTATTAGCATAAAAACAACAGCAAATAACAAATGAGTGCAAGGCAACGCAGACTCTATAAAACATGTAATACGTACAAGAAAATTTTAGCAGAAAATGCAGATAAGAAAAGACAAAGCAGCATTTAATAGTTACCATTCTCTCCTTAAATCTAGGGATGTAAAATTTTATGACATATTGTAAGAGTAAGTATACAAAGTGACAAATGATAATCCTATATAAATTAATGACCTATGAAGCTCAATGGTACAAGCACAAACTAAAACATTAGATACGCGAACAAATATTTCCAACCTTCATATATGATTGTATAACATAAAAGCACCATTCAACTGAGCCACGTGATCTGCTAAGACTAATAACTGTGGATAACTATCTTTTAACTATGTTCAATTTGCATCTTCAGCCTAACTTATCATCATCTTTATACTTCAATACAGAGCTTGGAAGTATTTACTTCCATTAAAATATTAAATAGGTTTGAGAGAGGGTACCGTTTCCCCGGAAATTTCCTCTTTCCACTGATTCTGATATTTCTCAAGTAACAATAAAAGAATGCTTTGCAAATCAAGTGATAGATCTGGTGGAAACAGCTTCAAAAGATCATCGCCAGTGAAATTCTCACGTACACATTTTCTGATAAGCGAACGAAGGCATGCCAAAACCTATTGTCAGGCTTTTATACATTATTTGCATGTTGAATAAGTAGGAAGATCATGCACTTCATGAAACCACTAGCACAAATTTTAAAATGCCTTTGGTAATGCTGTCAAACAGTGTTCTTTCAAGTAAAAGCTGTTTCGTTATAGAAAGATTGGGAGCACTTTTGCCACCATTAGGAGTAGTGACAAATAGTTAAAAGTACTTATGTTTTAATTTTGAAGTGTTTTGTTAAATCAACTTTCCGGATAAAAAAAAAAAAGATTGACATACTTTTTGAAGAAGTAACTGATAAATTTTTCTTTCAAAGCACTATATAGTATATAAGCACTTAAAGTATAAGTTGAAACAGCAATTCATAGGTGCTATTCTTGAAAGTGCTTCTACTCAAAATTACTAAACAAAAGCACTTTACAATGCATGGAAAAGAGAGAAATAGCTTAAGAAACCAATCAAGTGTTTCTCCAAAAAGCAAGCATTTCTAGGTGCTTATCTTACTAAAAAAATGCTTTATTAAAAAGCACTTATAAGTGATTCTGTTATGTCTTTGTATCCCAAAAATTGCTTTCCTCTATCTCAGACAAACACAGTAAACTAGAAACCAAATCCCTTCTACCTAAATGAAAAACCCATTTTACTGTCTCAAAAGCACTACCAAATGCAACCTAATTTTTTTTACAAATTAAAATCAAAAGAACCATATAGAATATAAGCACTTAAAGTATTAGTTGAAACAGCAATTCATAGGTGCTATTCTTGAAAGTGCTTCTACCCAATATTACTAAACATAAGCACGCTAGAACGCATGGAAAAGAGCAAAATAGCTTAAAAACCAATCAAATTTCTCCAAAAAGCAAGCATTTTTGGGTGCTTCTTTTTTTGGGTGCTTCTCTTACTTTAAAAAAGAAAAAAAAAAATGCTTTATAAAAAAGCACTTATCAAGTGATTCTCTTGTGCCTTCGTATCCCAAAAATTAGACACCAAATCCCTTTTACCCACATGAAGAACCCATTTTACTCCAAATGCAACCTAATTTTTTAAACAAATTAAAATCAAACACACGCACACACAAGGTTAAACAATGTTGTATTTATGATTTCAGCTTTAAAATATGAGATGTTTTGTTCAGCACTTAGAATTCGAAGCAAAAAGCTAATCTAAACTCATTTTACTCCCAAATGCACCAAACTTTTTTAACAAATTAAAATCAAACATAAGCACACACAAAGTTAAATGATACCGTATCTATGATTTGAGCTTTAAATATGAGAAGTTTTATTCCACACTTAACATTCCAAGAAAAAGCTAATTATGAAAAGGAAATGCAACAGAAGAAAATTATTACAGGATCGAGTTGGGCGGGAGTAGGGAGGTTGAGGAGAGCCTGAATGGTAGATTTCTCGGCTGACTGAAGACCTGTTTTTCTTGTTTTCCAAAGCGTAGTGAGTATGTGGTCAAGCGATTCCTCTGAGTTTATAGGTGATAGCTTGAGCAGTTGCAGGTACAATGTCTCTGTCTCTCCCTCCATTTCAGAGCCCTCTACTTTGTGTTTGAGTTTAGGGCCTCATGCTCAACCTAATCAAAACGGCCGCCCCAACTCAACCCAATTCTTTATTTATAAAAATTAGCCCATTATTTAAATTGTTTATTTTATATATATATATATATAAACTACGGAGCGGAAACTGGAAAGTGACAATTAAATTAGGGGTGGTGGAATCCTGTTAACCGGACGGTTCGACACTTTCTTGAACCGAATTGAAGTCTGAAATCGGAATAATTTTTCACTTGAGCTACTTACTAACTAAACCAAAAATTCGGTTTGGTTCGGTTAACCGGTTTTTTTTTTTAAATTTTAACATGAAATAAATCCAATTCTCTGCAGCCAATTGCAACTAAGTACTAACAATAGTTACAATATAATTGCAAAATCAAACGTTTGATTTTATTATGATACTTTTTAGAATAATATTTTAAAAAAACTAAATTAAACAAATATTACGACATGAGATTTAAAAATTAATAAAAATACATTTTATGTTTATTTATTTATTAAATATCTTTATAATAAAATATTAAAAATTAACAAAAATATCTTCAATTCACCTATTAAATACAGACACCGTAAGAGAGTTATTAGAGTGTTTTTATAATTTTTAAAAAAATATTTAAAAATATTTAATTAAATTAATAAATTTAAAAAGTTTAAAAGAATTGAATAATATAAAATAATATTTTAAAAATATTATCCAAGAGTGTAAGAAAGGAGCCAAAATAACATTAACGATCACAAACTATTACAATCCTCTTAACCGGTTTTGAACCAATTTTATCTCTACTCTTTAAACAACTACTCCACAAAATCAAATCCTGTCAAATCTCAGCAATCTTCTTCACAAAACTAAATCAATCCACCACTAATCCAACTTCAAGAAAAATTGGCTAGCTATTATCAATCATCAATTCCACCCGTAACTTCAACAAAATCAAAATAAAAACTTACAAATCAAAACCTAGCACAATTGAAAATTCTTTTAAACATCACAAATCAACCCTTGGGAAGTGTTGTTGAGGCCATTTTCAATCATCAATTCCATCCGTAACATTAGTCTTCACCCTTCACAGCTTCACAGCTTCACTAGCTTCAGTCTTCAGTCGGAATCCAGACGATCTGGCTGGCTAGCCAGATCGGGTTGCCAAACAGCGGCAACTAGATGGAGTGAATGGGGAGGAGGAAAGAAAAGAAAGGAAGAGAAAGAGGAAGAGAAGAAGGAAAGTGGAGAAAAAGAAAAGATAAGGAGAAAGAGAGGTGCCTGAAAAAGGAGGAGGAAGAAGAAAAAAAGAGAGAACGGATACGAAACAGAGGAGAAGAAGAAATGGGTTTAGGAATAGATTAGGAATTTGTGAAAAATCGGTTTTGATTAACTGATTCTTATTTTGGATCGAACCGCTAACGGACGGCAAACCGGTTTAACCATCCCCTATAACCGAAGTCAAACCGGTTTAGAGAAAAAACTAGTTTTCGGATCGGTTTTTTTTTTTTTTTTTACCCCTACGAATAATCAATAGTTAGCATGCACTAGGCAATTTTGAGAAAAATATAAGATTAATTATATAATCATTTTGTCATATCTGAATGAATTATGAAAATACTTTTTATATATATATATATATATATATATATATATATAAAGCTGAATACCTCTTCTTGTTTGACACGTAGCACATTTTAAACTCATTTAGGTTGTAGAATTATCTATCTTGACTATTGGATTGACAAATAAAATTTGTGGTTTAATTGGCCTAATCAAATTGCTCTATCTTACACATTGGGTTTGTATTTATGCTCTATTTACAATTATTAATATAAAAAAAATTGGATCTGTTTTAATATAATATAGTGCATTGCATTGGCATTCCAAAACTGTAGCCCTTTTGACGCGTTGGATGTGCATTAATAACAAGTATATAGATGCATTAGATTGGTATTAATAATTGTGGTTTCATAACATCAGTCTAAGATTGCTATTAATAATTATATAGGTGCATTATATTGACATTACAAACGTTTCTTCGTATTCAATTCGTATTTAATTGCGTTGACATTCAAAAGGTCTAAACAAAGGGTTATAAAATGAGCGTATGTTTAGTTGTGTATTATCATAATATGTTAGTTGGTGTCAATAATACATCTAGTCTTTTGTTAATTACTAGTGTTATCTTTTATAAACAGGAAAAATTACTAGTGTTATCTTTTATGACCTTGAACCAAATGCTCACTTTGTATTTATTTGCCATATTTGGCGGGCACTAAGAGTACAATTAGTTTAAAGTTATTTTAGTCTAATTTTCTTAGGGATTTATTTGTCAAAGTATATTTTCGAGTTTTATTTCATTTATGAGTTGTTTGAGTTATTTTTTTTCGTTTGATGGCATTAAGATTTGTATTTCTTAAGGTTATTTTATTGTAATGGGTATCATTGAAATATTATGGAATAAGATTCAATTTTTTTCCTTATGATTGTCTCTTGTTTTCTTGATTCTTCTATCTTTTCTAGATTCTTGCTATTCTAATTGTCTAGTTTCTCCTATCTTGTTTTGCTTCTTTATCTTCCTATTTTTTTTAGGATCATGATCCTCTCCTGATTATCAATGTTCTGAAAACCGGATCGGACCATGACCCGTTCAAGGGTCCAGTTTTCGGTTTGACCGGTTGGATCGTATTTGTAAAATTATTTTAGTCCCTAAATGTTTGAAATTCATCAAAAACACCCTTATAAAACTCCTTTAAGGTTTGAAATATGTCCAAAACACCCATGTCGCACGAAGAGACTAGTGATGGTAGTGGCAGCGACGATCGACAACCAATCAAGGTTTGGAATCATGGGGCTTTTGATGTATAGGTGCCGACAAATCTGATGGTGGTACTAGGGAGTTCCATCGGCACCGGAAATCGCCAGAATCAAGAAAGAAGTCTGACGGTCGTGTGAACTTTAGGTGGACGACAAGCGACGAAGGCTGGACAACGGCCACTGAAAATGGTTGGGTTTTGTCGTGGATTTGTTGTCAAGTCTAATGGTGGTGTTTTCTCCCTCGAACGATGCCGGAATCCGACGAGATTGAGCTGCGATTGGATCGCGATTTGACATTATTCCGACGATCCAACCGCGGTCCAATCCGGTTTGAATGAAATTAATAGTTTTCAAAGGATACTGGACCGGATATGCCACCGGTTACCGGTCAAATCGGTCTGACAGGACGGTCCAGTCCCACTTTCAAAACATTGCTGATTATGATCTACTGACATGTTGCTACTAACATGGTGACTAGGGGTATTCGGGCCACCGGGGGTGTTCAGGCAGCTTGCGCACAGTATTTCCTATTTTTTTTAAGATTAGGATTCTCTCTTGATTATAATCTACTGACATGTTGCTACTAACATAGTGATCGGCGGTGTTCAGTCCAGCTTGCGTGCACCTCGACTAATCCCCCGAGCCTTGAAGTTAATGACCGGGTAAACCTTCCAATGGTCACCCTTATTAGCAACCGAGGGGAATCAAACTCAAGACCTCTTGAGTAAAATACCTAAGAGTCCCTATTGCCTCACCTGGCCACCCAGGGGTGGTTAATGGCCAGGATTATTTTATTCCTTTTTTCTTTGATAGTAGGCGTCATACCCACTTTTCCCATGGTATGTTTCTTCCTGATTCATCTTACATCAATATAACTCAAACAATTCTTCTTTCAATCCTACGTTCTATTTCTTTCATCTTTTATAAACACCCATTTCTTCAACTTAACTTCAAATGATTCATGAATAGTTCTTGCCACAATAAATTAGTGAAGACTCTAGCAAGTCTAGTTCCAGTAACAACAATTCTTCGACTAAAGCAACATAAAAGGAAAAAACTCTCAAATTAAGGGCGTTGTCGGTGATTAGATAAAAGAGTATGAATTTCTATGATCTTTGGAAGGGGTGATTGTATAAACAGGAAAAAACCCTCAAATTTAGGGTAATTGTACCATTGGTAATTATTCTTTGTTGAGAGACGAATTTTGAATGAGGTGTAAGTGTACATGGGATGAAGTTCTTATGTGAAGTTGCTTGAGTTTGTGTTACTGCTTTGTAATGTGGGTTTATACAGAATTTCCTTAGTTTTGTGAAGATGAAGTTGTATTATTGCTCTCTAACTGTTTGATCAAATTTCACTGTTATTACAAAATCTCGCACAACTAAAGTGATACGATTGACCTTGATGGAATCGGAACCGATGGCCGCGTGATTATAAATAGTTAGCAAGTAAATTGAAGATAGAGATGCAAAAGGGATTTTTAAAGAGGTTCGGCAAGTTAACTCTCAAGCCTACGTCTTCTATTATTTTATTGATATATTTGTGATTACAATAAAAATATTCTCACTCAAGAATTGCCAACTGTTGTTGATTTTCGCAAGTGTACGAAATCGTACAAGTAATAAAGTGTAAGAATACGGATGTCGAACCCAAGGGAATTACTAATACCAAGTACCACACTAAGCTATCTTATTGTTGTTTGATTAATTAGATTTTCAGAACGATTCAATGAAAAATAAAACAACTTAGCAACAAAATAAAAACAAACTTTTATTAACACTTTAGTAGGAAATCAATATGACTAAACCTAGGGCATAGATTTCACACCAATTTAATCCTATGCATTGACAATTATCGTTAACCCAATTAAGCTTATTCTAAAAACCAAACTCCCTAATATTTCGATAACTTTCTCTCGAACAATTAGCAAATTAACTCCTAATTACTAACCCGAATTATCTCTAATCAGATTTAAGTAATTGGAGATCATTAAAGTCTATGGAATTTACCAGAGCCTTATAGATCGCGGTAACCTATCTCTAGCGTTCGCTCAATCATGGTTTTATTACCTTAGACTAATTAGGTTTCATCTCTCGATCTCAACCTAACCCATAAAATCATTCAACTTAGGGCCCTTAAGAATTGAAAGCTTTAAGCGCAATAATAAAACTTAAAACAAAACTTAATAAAAATTAGCAACAAATAATTCAATACATATTCATAAAATTGGGCTACATTTTAACCCTAGAAAATAAA